AGAGTGATTTTGTGGTCAGTAACTTGAGCAGAGGTGGAGTCAGGATAATTTGCTTCCCTTGGTGGAAGCTGAGATCTCTTGGTGGTTTGAGGTTCAAGGGTCTTTGCTTCCATATTTATTGTTTGCTGCAAGTTTGAAGGGACTCTAGTTAGGTGCTTTTCTCTCTCTGGGGACACTCAGGGTGTTTTAGGACAAGAAAGGAGCAGGGTTGGAAGCTGCTGATCTTCTAGCATGGGGCTGACTAGTGTCTCCTCTGTCATAATTTGCTGGTCAAGGGACAAAAAAAATCATCCAGATTTGGGGAAGGAGCAGGAGGGAAATGTATCTTGAAAGGATAATCACCTGTGTAGAACCTGTGTAGAACAATGAACACATTACAATTTTCTGGAATTATGACATCCGTGCTTCAATCACTGCATTCACAAACCTGAAAGTCTAAATATTGCAATGGCACTGGGGAGATGACTTAGAGGTTAAGAGCAATGTCTGCTCTTTCAGAGGACCCGAGTTCAATTGTCAGTGCCACACTTCGGTTGCAGGATCTCCGAGGCCTTCTGCTGACCTCAGGCACCCACATGATACATAGACATACAAGCAGGCAAAAGACACATACAAATTAAGTATACATTAAAATAAAAACAAAAGCTGTAATGTAGGAATAACTTGTCTCTGAAGCATTAAAAACACTATATTAACTATAACTATTAATGATCATCTTCATGATAGTATGTCTTTGTTTTACTCAGGACAGATCTCACTGAATGTGTAATATTTGTGGGGACAGGAAGGTACCTCTGTTGGTGAAGTGTCTGCCATGCAAGCACAGAGAGTTCAATCCCCAGCATCTGTGTAGAAAGGTTGGTGGGGTGACTGGCACTTGCAATCTCAGGGCAGAGGAGGCAGAGTCAGGAGGATCCCTGAGCTCTTTGGATAACCACTGAAGCATTATCAGCAGTCATCTTTTGGATCCTTAACAATAATATCTAGTTGGGTGTTTTGGAATCAGAGCCAACTCTTGTCAAGCACCTGCTGTTTTCTATATATAAATTCTTTTTTAAGAATGTGTTTTCTTCATTAAAAGTAAGGTATGCTTTCATTGTAATTTTGTGGGAGTATCAGTCTTTAAAATTTATCAATTAAATGGAAGCTATGAAAGCAGGCAAAGGTGACAAAATTGAAGTTCTTTTAAGCAAAATTTCTACTCAAATTTTTTCAAATTGTTTGTTTTATTATTTTACTTTAAATTCTTTTTTTTTAATCTAAATTAGAAACAAGCTTGTTTTACATGTCAATCCCAGTTCCCTCTCCCTCCCCTCCTCCCCTGCCCCCACTAGCCCCTATCCCAAACCCTTTCTGCTTCCCAGAGAGAGTGAGGCCTTCCATGGGAGATCTTCAAAGTCTGTCATGTCATTTGAAGCAGGGCCTAGGCCCTCCCCCATGTGTCTAGACTGGGAGATTATCCCTCTATGTGGAATGGGCTTCCAAAGTCCATTCGTGTACTAGGAATAAATACTGATCCACTACCAGAGACCCCATAGATTGTCCAGAGCTCCTAACTGACATTCACCTTCAGGGGATCTAGATCAGTCCTATGCTGGTTTTCCAGTCTCGGGTCCATGAGCTCCCCCTTGTTCAGGTCAACTGTTTCTGTGGGTTTCTTCAGCCTGTTCTTGACCCCTTTGTTAATCACTCCTCCCTCTCTACAACTGGATTCCAGGAGTTTGGCTCAGTGCTTAGCTATGGATCTCTGCTTTTGCTTCCATCAGCTCCTGGATGAAGGCTCTAGGATGGCATATAAAGTAGTCATCAATCTTATTATTGGAGAAGGGTATTTAAGGTAGCCTCTCCAGTATTGCTTAGATTGTTAGTTGGGGTCATCCTTGTAGATCTCTGCACATTTCCCTAGTGCCAGATTTCTCTTTAAACCTATAATGGCTCCCTCTATTATGGTTTCTCTTTTCTTGTTCTCTTCTATTCTTCCCCTGACTCAATCTTCCTGCTCCCTCATGTCCTCCTCCCCTCCTCTTCTCCCCTTCTCTTTCTTCTAACTGCCTCCTCCCCCGTGATCCCAATTAGCTCAGGAGATCTTGTCCCTTTCCCCTTCTCTGGAGGTCATGTATGTCTCTTTTAGGGTCTTCCTTGTTTCCTAGCTTCTCTGGTGGTGTGGATTGTAGGCTGGTAATCCTTTGCTCTATTTCTAAAATCCATATATGAGTGAGTACATACCATGTTTGTCTTTTTGTGACTGGGTTACCTCACTCAGGTTGGTTTCTTCTAGTTCCATCCATTTGCCTGTGAATTTCAAGATCCCATTTTTTCCCCCATTGAGTAGTACTCATTGTGTAAATGTACCACCTTTTCTCCATCCATTCTTCAGTTGTGGGGCATCTAGGTTGCTTCCAGGTTCTGGTTATTACAAATAATGCTGCTATGAATATAGTTGAACAAGTGTCCTTGTCTTATGAATGTGCACCTTTTGAGTATATGCCTAAGAGTGGAATTGCTGGATCTTGTGTTAGACTGATTCCCTAAATTCTGTTTTTTAACTTTTATTTATTCTTTGTGTCTTTCATATCATGCATTTAGATCCCATTCATTTCCCTTTCCCTTCATGTCCTCCCTCTGCCCTTGCAGCCCTCCCCCATAAATAAAATAAAATTTAAGAGGAAAAAAAGTAAAAATCTCATCCTCATGGAAGCTGTAGTGTTACTCAGCGAGTCACATAGTAAACCCGTTTGTCCATGGATCTTAACTTGCAAAGAGTCATTGGTCTTGTTTCTGCTACACTATTGATGTGGGGCCCTCACCGGGACTCCTCTTGGATGTCCTGTTGTTGCTGTGTGTCATGGAGATCTTGCAGCTTTGGGTCTGTAGGACCAGCCCCTTCACGTGCTCCTACAGATGATAGATAGGGTGAATGTTGGGGTGGGCCATATCATAACCCTGGTTCTGGGCCTGGGTAGTTGCAGGGTCAATCAGCCTACCAGCTCTCCACATTGTCCTTGGCATCCTCACCACCAGGGTGAGCTCTCCAGCATTGCCCAGGCTAGTTCACCCCTTGTAGCCATGAGCAAGGGGCGGGGCCGGTTCTCCTGCATCTACACTATCGGGGCCAGTTCTGCGGTGTTGTTCAGGCAAGGTGCAGAAGTCACTCCCTGGAGTGCTACAGCTGGTGAGGGGCAGGGGCGGCTCTCCTGCTGTTATGACCTCAGGGCCAGCTCTCCTGTCTGTCACAGGTGGCAAGAGGCAGAGGGGTGGGCATCTTTCCCAGGCCTACACCACCACACAGCTCATGAGGAGCAGGACTACATCTTCCACCCTCACGTTCTTGGGGCCGGTTCACCCGTACCCCTGTCAATAGGGTCAGCTCTATGTGCTGTCCAGGTGGGGTGCAGGGCCCACTTAATTGAGTGTTGCAGCTGGTAAGGGGGAGGGTCAGCTCCCTCATCTGTCACAGGTGTCGAGAAATGAGGTATAAGGTGACATTTCTCTCCTGACCACGCCCCTGCAGGTCAAATGAGTAGTGGGGACAGCTCTCCCATGTTCACGACTTGGGAGCTGGCTCACACATACCTCCTCCAACAGGGTTGGCTCTACTGTGTTGCCCAGGTGAGGTGCAAAGCCTTCTCTCCCTAGCGTTACAGCTGGTGAGGGGCAAGGGAAGCTCTCTTGCTCTTATGGGCCAACTCTTCCACCCACCTCAGGCATAGAGGGGTTGGGGGTATCTCTTCCCTGCCCATGTCATCATGTGGCAGATGAGGGGCAGGCCTAGATCTCATGCTCGTATTCTTGGGCTGACTTACTCACACCCCCTGTAAACAGGGTCAACTCTACTCTGCTGCCCAGGTGAATGCTGCAGCTGGTGAGGGGTTGGGTCAGATCCTCCACCTGTTGCATGTGCTGAGGGGTGAGGGGAGGAGGGCATCTTTCTCTCACCCATGCCACCACACGGCATATGAGAGGAGTATGACCTGCTCCCCCATTGTCACACCCTCAGGGCCAGTTTGCTCATGTCCCTGTGAACAGAGTCAGCTCTATTGTGCTGCCTGGGTGAGGTACGTCAGGTGCTGAGGGGCAGGACCTGTTCTCACTAGTGCTGCAGACAGTGAGGGGCAAGACTAACTCTGCACAGCCCCATCCTCTTGGCCTTTGGTGGAATCAGGAGCCATAGACATTATCAGAGACCACACCATAGTTGCATCACAACCATGAACCTAGATGTGGGCCCCAGCAGTAGCCCAGGCCTGGACATCACCGTGGTCTTGGTTAGCGATCAAGTCACCCATCTCAGCCTGCTCCTCATCCCTTTGCATCTTCAGATGTGCCTCTGTCTATAGGAAATGAACTCCCCCTCTCCCATACCATCCCAAACATTTGCTCATCATAATACTGCCCATCTTCCCGGTGGGCCCATGTGTTCCCCTTGGAGCTCAGAGTAGATCTCCCCAGGCCTGTATGTGGGTACCCTTGTCCCTCACGGCACTGGGCAGGGTCATGCTTCCTAATCACACAGAGGCCATAACAGCGCCCAAGCTCCCTGCACTTCTGGCATTAAGTTCCCAGTTGGTGCAGAGGTGTTGGAGTCTTCTCTTTTGCCAGGGCTAGAAACTTCGGGCTACATTTGGTTGAGTCCCACCCATCCCAGCTGCATGGCATGGGCCAGAGGTGTTGCTGGAGTCCTCTAATGGGCCTCTATACATAAATCCTATATACGTTTATCTAGGGGAGGTGTGGTGACTGCCTTGTGGTAGGCCTGTGGTTTCTCTAAGATGTCATGACAGTCAGAAAATCTGGAATCTGCATGTTTCTTTGCCTTGGCCACCTCCACAGGGATGTGACTGAGAGAGGCTTTTACAAAGCAACGCAGATAAAGACAGGGCCCTGCTTATTACTCCTGTCCTCTCCCTTGCACAGAGTATATTCCCCAGTGACCTATGCCCTCTGCTCTTCTTCATGTTGCAGGTGGCATCCTTTTCAGACCTGTGCTTTGTTGTTTACAGATGTACGAGATCAAAGCAGGAGGCAGCATTGCAAAGAAGTTCAGTGCCATTCTGCAGACGCTCAGCTCACCCCTGCAGCCCAGGGTTCCTGAACACAGCAACAACAGGATGAAAAACCTCTCCTACCCGTTCTCCAGGGAAAAAATGTACCTGTGAGTGTGGGAGCCACGTGGGCAGGCACAGGGGAGGGGATGGGGAAGGGCTTCCCCTGCCATTCTTCCAATGATGACCCTGGGATCTGGGAGTCAGGCGGAGAAAGTAGCTGACTTGGGAAAATAGTTTCCATGGCTATGACTGCCCTTCCCCTTCCAAATGGCCCTGGACATTCATCCAGGGACATCTATTTGCTTCTTGGTTACTGTAGAGGATGGATGGAGAGCCAGGGGGCAGCCAGGTGTGAGAAGGAAAGTGCTCACCTCCTGTGGGGAAGCCCCTCTGCCAAGTGTGTCTGATTAGGTTTTGATAATACATGATGAAACCAAGAGAAGGTTCTGGATTTGTGCATACCCATTACATACTCATGCTTTCCCTGATTCTGTGGAAATGCTATACCCACCCAGGAAGTGTGAATAAAAGTCTCTCTATGGGGATGGCCATTTGGGAAACCTGTAGAAGGGGTGACCATGGTATGGAAGTAGGAAATGAAAGATGCAGCTATGAGGCGTAAGCCATGCACCACGAGCTCGGGAGAAAACATGTAGCTATCAGGGGTGATAAGAATCGAGTGAACAAAGCAAAGAAGGGACATAGAGACCCAAGAACGCATAACAAGCCTTCTTTTTTAGAAGCAGTGTTTCCGTGTTCACTAGAGAATGACTCCCACTACCTCGCCATGATTGACATCAATTCTATGAATATGCATGTGTTTCACGGCAAGTCCCCCACCCCCTTTGTGACCTTGTAACTGTCCTTCTGTTCCAAAGGGGAAACCCAATTCCTCAGCTCAGGGCCATGCAGATGTAAGTGACACAGCAAGGCTAGCATGGCATCCCTTTTTACACATATGTATAGCATCGTGTTTGCTGCTCTTTGTACCTTATCTTCCTACCATTCCAAGAACCCCTTCTTCTCACGAGTTTCTTGAGTACTTCCATGTCTTTTCTTGCTTTTTGTGACCCAATGAGTTTACATGACTATGGGTCAAGGGTTGCATAAAAGGGCATGGAAGCTATCCAGCAGCTACAAAAAAAATGACATCCCTTCTTCCAGAAGCTATTAACTAATGGCTCCTCAAGAAGAGTGAGGCTTCCAAAGTCCCTCCCCTCTCTGCGATGGAATATCAAAGAGTCCAGCCTTCTGCAGGTGACTACAGCTGCTGTGATTTCATGAGTGTAGTCAATGACCACGTCATGTCCGCAGGATTGTTCCTCCTACCTCCCCTCCTGTCCTTACATTGCTTCTTCCTCTTCTTCTGCACTAGTCTCTGAGCCATGGAGTGGGTGATATAGATGCTCTGTATTGGGGTGAGCATTCAACAACCACTTACTCTTCAACACTTTTTACTAGTTATGCCTCTCTATATTAACTTCCATTTGCTGCAAGAAGAAGCTTTTCTGACCCAAACTGCCAGTGTCTTTAGTCTTGTGTATAGACAAATATTTAGAAGGTAGTCTGTCAACATGTCTGCTTAGCACATAGTAGCTTCCCCCTAGGGCCTGTGACCTTGTCGTCAAGAGCTTTTGTCTAGGTTACAGTACCAGGCATAGAGTCCCTCTCACACGCAATGAGAAGGTGATTGGTTATCTCCACGGCAGTCTTGCCATTATTTCACATCTCGCTTGACAGATAGATCAGTGTGTCGCACAGGGTCCACAGCTGGTGAACCTGCTGTTCTTTTTGTCTGTAGCTTCTTCCATGCTCTTCCCCTAGGCTTTCATTCATGTGGATGCTGGCTTCTGATCAGCTGTCTCTCTCACATTTCTCGTTGTTTCACTTCTGCTATTCTTTAAGGCCAGTTAATAACCAGTATCTTTTCTAGAAAATTCTATTCTTCCCAATCAAAAGTCTGACTTCTGTCTTTGACCCTGCACAATCACAGTCCACATAGCATCATGCTTCATTTGGCATCAATCACTGTGACACATGTGACTTCCGGGAAAATAAGGAGAAGACCCAGTTATCTGTGTCCTCAGCAAGGATGCTGATACAGACTCCAAAGGTGCTGCGGGACTTTGTATTATTGTTTGCTGTTCTGAGACAAGTTCTTGCTGTGCAGCCCTGGCTGTCCTGGAACTCCAGATCCCCCTGCCTGTCTTTTGAGGACGGGGATTCACAGGAGCTTTTGCTGTTGTTGTTCAATGTATGAGCACTCATGGGACCTTCCATAAATGAGTTTGGTATCTACTGATGGAATGACAGTGAGAATACAAATGGAATTTTGAAAGACAAATACCCCCAAACTAGGCTCTTTTTTTAAAAAAAAATAAATTGTTTTCACTTATCACAGCTTACTATTGTCTATTATAGCTTTCTATTTACAGACTTCTCACAGTTATAATTTTCAATGCCTTCAAGACAATCTTCCATATCAATGTTGAGTTGGATACATTTGTACTGGATAATTTTATAATATTTTTCTTCTGATCATTTATTTTCATTATAAACAATTCTTACAATGAGTTTTCAGAATTCCTGGGTCAAAACAAGCATCCATGTTGTTTCTAAGTGTGTGAGAACTTTCATGTCTTGCCATGTTGCTTCCTAAAGGTTTTCCCTAGACTGTGGAGACAGTGGTGTCAGGGTATGGTAGTGACATGAGTTCACCATTTACTTTCTTTTATTCTCTAGGTACAACATCCAGGAAAAGGACACCTTCTTCGACAATGCTACACGGAGTCGCATTGTAAGTAAAGGGTGTACTGGGTTAGTAAAGGCTTTTGGGAAAAGCTGGGTATGTGGTTAGCAGGGCATTTCCTTTCCCTCCCTGTCATCTCTCATCATTGTTTGCCTGGAGTTGCCTAGCAACTGTAAGGTATACAAGAGCTTCCCCATCCCAGTAGTACAAGAAAGAGCAAACAAATTCACTTGCTAAGGTTTGAGAGGGGTGTTTCTGCTTATGAACTCTTCATGCAGACCTTTCTTAGAATCACAGAATGAGGGACTGTCAGAGGTGGTAGAACTTGAAACCAGTTAAGGCAACCCCCTTGGTTTATAATTAAAGACACTGAGGCTCTGAGACACAATACATTAGAAAAAATCACATATATTTATCTAGATACTATCATATAGTTATATCTTTATCTCTATGTTATAAAAGGATTAGAAGTAGTCCTGATTGCTGGGTTAGTATGTTTTTTATGATTTTTTCTTCTCTAACCCTCACGGCAAGGACTCATGTGATTTTATTTCACAATAAATGCTAATTAGCCAGTTTGCCCTATAATAAAACAGACATACATTCCTGGCTGCAACTGCTCTTCCTTCCTTCCTTCCTTCCTTCCTTCCTTCCTTCCTTCCTTCCTTCCTTCCTTCCTTCCTTCCTTAAGTGCTTCCTTATTTCCTTTCTTCCATTCCTTCCCTCTTCCTCTTTCCCTTCTCTCTTTTCTTTTCTTTTTCTTTCTTTTTTTTTTGTTTGGTTTTTCAAGACAGGGTTTCTCTGTATTGTTTTGGAGGCTGTCCTGGAACTGACTTTGTAGACCAGGCTGGCCTCGAACTCACAGAGATCCACCTGCCTCTGCCTCCAGAGTGCTGGGATTAAAGGCGTGCGCCACCAATGCCCGGCCCCCTTTCTTTCTTTTAATACCAAAGATTTTATTTGCGTTGGATGTTTGATTCTAATAATAATGTGTGTCTGGCCTCTGTTTTTGTGGCCCCCACCTCCAGCCCCATAGTTTCTTCATTTGCCCATCAGTTAATTCTCTGTCACTCCTGAGAACACACAGCCTGTTGGCAGAGGAAGGCAAGAGAGGCCAGAACTTAAAGCTTTGTGGGAAGTGCAGAAGTAATATTCCTTAGGAAAGAGCTTACATTTCCAGTGCTGAATAGATAAGGGAGAGAGACTTAGAAGGATTTCCCAGCCACCTGGGTGACATGGATGGTAAGAAGGGTCAGGGAGTATACAAAATTACTGAGCATTTCCAAGACACATAGACAAATGGCTTTTGCACTTGCTTTCAAGATGTACAAGAAAACACCTCTGGTCCCTTCAAGCCATATTTTAAAAAGGATTTAAAAAAATGGGCATATGATTTCTTTTCCCTTCCTATGGAAAGGGGTATAAACTTCTTGCTTCCTTTGATGCTATTATAAGTCAATTAATTCTCAACATGGCTTGGCTCCCACACTGGGGGGAGAAACAGGGTGTGGAGATTAACTGATCATTGCAAAGTGCTTGTAAAATAATACAATGCCTTATAAATGCTGTTCCTAATTATTATCGCTATTGAATCACTGCTGTATTAGAAGCAGAATTAAACACTCTTGAGCCCCATTCTGCTGGAAGTTATTTATTTTCCACTCCCTCTAGGTCTGCGACGGGAATATAAGAGTGTGAATAATGATGATGAAACACATCTCTCACTCATCCCTTCTTCTAGAAGCGTCCTTTTCTCTGCTCTGCCTCTTTCTAAGTCTTCCCCAAATTATGAAAAGGGCAAAGAAGAGCCTTGAGTTTTATCCTGACCATCCTGGCCTTTCTCATTTGCATGCGTCTGTGACTGTTTTCTGTTACTCCCCCCTTCTTTGTTGGCTCAGTCATTTGTTCCCTTCTTTCAGTTAGTATACCATTGCTTGGTCTGACTGGGGCTTGGGACCCAAGAGGACATCATTAGATGGCCATCACTGAGCCACCTGTGTCTCAGGTTCTCTGCTAGGAATGTCCCTCCATGTAGGAGACTGTCTCCCCAGTCTGATGGTGCAAGAGTTCTCCAGAGCTTTTAGGCTTGTAGACTTGAACTGCAACAGAGCAGGCGGCCCACAGGTTGCCCACTTCTGCTGAAGGAGGAGGCTGCCATGAGAAGTCAGGGTGAGAACTCAGGAGCAGCTTGGACAGATGAGAATGCTAGGCTAGGCTGCACTCTTCCACAACGAGCACTGCCTTGACCCTTGTCTTCCAGAGGCGTCCTAGGTCTCTGCCAGGATGCTACCAGGAGAGGGACAAACCCTCTGTTGTGGGCTCAGGCCCTTCTACTTCTGACCGTGTGCCCCGTGCTTTTCCAGCTTTCCCTCAGGCTCTCCTAGTTAGTATGTGCCTCAGAGTGGTAGAGGAAGCGCCTTGTAAGGGAGCCCCACCTTCCTTGAGGCTCCCCCACACGGGAGGGGGACAAACCCAGATATTTCCTCCCTGGGTCTCAAGAGAGCTATGTGTTATAGGCTGCCTGTCTCTGTTTTCCTTCCCTTCTGTCACTGCAGTCAATTTATAGCCTTTTATTGATTCATTTTATTTTCAGGGTGGGAAGGAATGAAGGGTGTGTGTATGAGAGGGGTTAAATTCTTTGCTTCCTCAAAATACTCGAGCTTGAATGGGTTTGACAAGTACGCCATGAGCTCTGCACATGCTTGGCGTCCCCTCCCTCCAAATGAGGCCCGTACCTCTGTCCCAGCCAGCCTGCCTCACAGGGTGGTGACGCACATGGTCCAGGCATTCACAGCCCTGCTGTCCTTCCCTTTTAGGTACATGACATTCTGAAGCGCACAGCCTGTTCTCGAGCCAACAACACTATGGGTAAGGAGCCCTCCAGTGAGGTGGTCCATGAGGCGGTGAGGGGCTGGGGGCGGCCCTGTCAACACCATCCTTGGTGGGCAACAGGAAGAGCAGCAGACTCATCCCCTCGCAAGCAGGGCTGCTTCAGCTTAGACTGAGCAGCCAGTCTGGGCTGTGGAGTGGAGGCGCCCACTACATGGCATGTCTAGGGTGCTTCAGGGCTGTTGAAACCTGTCCTACATCTCTAGCTCATGGTGGTTGAAGGCTCCCTCCTCTTTCTAGGACTGTCTACATCTCTCACTTCTTCTGGATCATTCAACTGCAATTCTCTTGGTCTAGTTTGCTTTTGGTTACTGTGATAAACCCCGGAAGCAACGTGGGCAGGAAGAGGGAAACTGGGACAGGAGCTCAAGGCAGGAACCCAGGTGCAGGAACTGAAGCCCGGACTAGGAAAGAACACTGCTCACCAGTTTGCTCCATGTGGCTTATTCATCCCCTGCCCAGGGATGACACCGCCCACAGTGGACATGGTCCTCCTACATCAATTAAGTTAAGAAATGCCCCCACAGACATGCCCACAGGTTCCCTCTTCCCAGGTGGCCCTAGCTTGTGTCAAGTTAACAAAACTGACCAGCATACAGTAGTTTTAAGTAACTACAGCCAATTTTCATTTACTGTTTTTAGGAAGAAAAGTATCTTAGAGGTCTCAGGTGGGTGTAACCCATTCATTCTCTGCATGAGGAAACTACTTCCTCCCAAAGAGAGGGTGAATGACTAATATAAGACTATACAGCAAGGGGCCATGAGGTCCAAATGTGGTTCTCTTAAGCCCAGGTTTCTCTTCTCTGTAACAGGTGGAATCCATTCACCTTGTGGTTTGTTTTTCAAATATGACTATTTCTGTGCCCTTGGATCAGGAGCCTCAGCATTTCAGAGTATACACACTAAGGCAGTCAGTCAGATGCTAATGAACTATTCAGAGATGCATATGGTAGCAGATGTGAAAATCTCCCCAATTTTATTATCACTTATTCCCAAATCAAGTCACCAGTCCACTGATTCTCCCATAATGCTCTCTCTTGAGTTTCCACTAACCTCAATCTCTTTCTTGCTCATTCTCTACACTCATGGCTTTGATTTGCAGACAGTGAGTCCTGGAAATGTGTAGAAACCATTGCCCTTGCCCTTCTGCCCCTATGCACTCAGCTTTTTGCTCTGCACATTCTACTCAGTTGACTTTATCTAATGAATTAATTTTAAAAATGCCAAGCCTATTAGTCCCACAGCAATCGCTGGTGAGTTTCTGACTGTGTTCACAAACGGTGACTTAACCTTTCTGCAACCCAGTTTCTTTTGTGTGGGATGGAGATCATGAACGTATCGTTCAGAGTTTTTGTAAAGATTAAACAGGCAACTGTGCATTTGCTTTGTAAACTGGAAAGTCCTTAAAAGCTGGGGCTTCAGGGAGCGATAATCCCCAGGATTATTGGAAGGTCACAGGAAGCCGCCTGCTTCAACTGATTCTGTTTTCTTTTGCCTTTTAGGATTTAATGTGTGTGTGTGTGTGTGTGTGTGTGTGTGTGTGTGTGTGTGTGTCTAAGTCAAACATTGTTAAAATTTTGTTGCTGCCCAGTAGTGTTCAAAATTTCACTTTCCTCTAAGACATTCAAACGAGCCTCTACTTTGAGCGCCTGCTATGTGTCAAATGATGCTACAGAAGTTGAGGAATACCAAGATGAATTTGACATATTGTCTACTCTTTTTTTATTTTTTATTTTGTTTTTCAGTTTAAATTTAGATAAGAAACAAGGTTGCTTCACAAGTCAGTTCCAGGCCCCTCTCCCATTCCCTCCCCTCCTCCCGTGCCCTCCCCCAACGCCCCCTCCCGTTATCCCCTCATTCCCCCAGGGAGGGTGAGGCCCTCCATTGGGGTGTCCATAGTCTGTCATTTCATATAGGGCAGGGCCTAGACCCTTCCCCAAGAGTTCAGGGTGAGAGTGCACCTCACATTGTTCTATGGGAGTCCAGAGACCGTGTGTATACTTGGGATGGGTACTGATCTGCTGCCCAAGGCTCAATAGATTCCCTAGGCCTCCTCACTGACACCCAGATTCAGGGGGTCTTGATCAGTCCCATGCTGGCTTCCCAGGCTAATGCCTGGGATTCAAGAGTTAACCTTTGTCAGGTCAGCTGTTTCTGGGGGTTAAACCAGCCCAGTCTTAATCCCTTTGGTCATCAGTCCTCCCTCTCTGTTACTGGCTTTCTTGAGTTCAGCTCAGTACTTAACCAAGGGAGTCTGCCTCTTCTTCGATCAGCCACTAAATGAAGTTTCTGTTTCTCAGACTCTCTGGCCATAGGATTGTAGGCTGGCACTCCCCAGATCTATGTCTAAAATCCATATATGAGAGAGTACATGCCATGTTTCTCTTTTTGTGACTGGGTTACCTCACTCAGGATGGTTTCTTCTAGTGTCATCCATTTGCCTGCGAATCTCATGATTCCATTGTTTTTTTTCTGCTGAATAGTACTCCATTGTGTAAATGTACCACATTTTCTCTATCCACTCTTTGGTTGAGGGACATCTAGGTTGCTTCCAAGTTCTGGCTATTACAAATAAAGCTGCTATGAACATAGTGGAACAGACATGTTTGTTGTATGAATGGGCATCTTTTGGATATATGCCTAAGAGTGGAGTTGCTGGGTCTTGTGGTAGGTTTATTCCCATTTTTCTGAGGAATCTCCATACTGATTTCCAAAGTGGCTGAACCAGTTGGCACTCCCACCAGCAGTGGAGGAGTGTCCCCCTTTCACCACATCCTCTCCAGCATAAATTGTCATTGGTGTTTTTGATTTTAGCCATTCTGACAGGAGTGAGATGGTATCTCAGAGTTGTTTTGATTTGCATTTCCCGTATGGCTAAGGATGTTGAGCACTTTCTCAAGTGCCTCTCAGCCAGTTTTGACTCCTCTATTGAAAACTCTCTATTTAGTTCTGCAGCCTACTTTTTAATTGGGTCCTTTGGTGTTTTGGAGACTTGCTTCTTGAGTTCTTTGTAAATTTTGGAGATCAACCCTCTGTCAGATGTGGGATTAGTGAATATTTTTTCCCATTCTGTGGGCTGCCTTTATGTCTTGCTGACTGAGTCCTTTGCCTTACAGAAGCTTCTCAGTTTCAGTAGGTCCCATTTATTAATTGTTGATCTCACTGTCTGTGCTACTGGTGTTATGTTCAGGAAGCTGTCTCCTGTACCAATTCGTTCAAGGGTACCACCCACTTTCTCTTCTAAGAGGTTCAGTGTGGCTGGATTTATGTTGAGGTCTTTGATCCATTTGGACTTAAGTTTTGTGCATGGCGATAAACATGGATTGATCCGCATTCTTCTACATGCCAGTCTCCAGTTATGCCAGCACCATTTGTTGAAGATGCTTTCTTTATTCCATTGTATATTTTTAGCTTCTTTGTCAAAGATCAGATGTTTGTACATGTGTGGGTTAATACCCGGGTTTTCAATTCGGTTCCATTGGTCTACCCGTCTATTTTTGTGCCAATACCAAGCTGTTTTCAGGACTATAGCTCTATAATAGAGCTTGAGGTCAGGGATGGTGATGCCTCCGGACGTTGCCTTGTTGAACAGGGTTGTTTTGGCTATCCTGGGTCTTTTGTTTTTCCATACAAAATTGATTATTGTTCTTTCAAGGTCTGTGAAGAATTGTGCTGGGATTTTAATGGGGATTGCATTGAATCTGTAGATTGCTTTTGGCAGGATTGCCATTTTTACTACATTGATCCTACCTATCCAAGAGCATGGGAGATCTTTCCATTTTCTGAGGGCCTCTTTAATTTCTTTCTTTAAAGATTCAAAGTTCTTATGATACAGGTCTTTCACTTGTTTGGTTAGCGTTACCCCAAGGTATTTTATGTTGTTTGTGGCAATTGTAAAGGGTGATGTTTCTCTGATTTCTTTTTCAGCCCTTTTATCATCTGTATATAGTAGGGCTACTGATTTTCTTGAGTTGATCTTGTAGCCTGTCACTTTGCTGAAGGTGTTAGTCAGCTGTAAGAGTTCCCTGGTAGAGTTCTTTGGGTCATTGATGTAAACTATCATATCATCTGCAAACAGTGAAAGTTTGACCTCTTTCTTCCCAATTTGTATCCCCTTGATCCCCCTTTGTTGTCGTATGGCAATAGCTAGAACTTCAAGTACCATGTTGAAAAGGTATGGAGAGAGTGGACAGCCTTGTTTTGTTCCTGATTTTAGAGGAATTGCGTTGAGTTTCTGTCCATTTAGTTTGATGTTGGCTGTTGGTTTACTCTTAAGGGCTCCTAGTGTAAGTCACTCAACCAGATGTGCGAATAGGTAATTATGAGATAATGCAGCAAGTGCTGTAATAGACGCATACACGATGAAACAGGAGCACCAAGCAGGAAGCAATTACCTTTCAGACTTGCTTCTTGGTGTCAACAGAAATTATCCAGCATCAATTTTGTGGTTCCTGGAGACAGTGGTGTGCCAGGAATTATCATCAATTACAAATGGCACAGAAAACACAGAAGATTTGTCTGGGGACACATGTTAGAGTTGTTTTAAGTGGGCTTAGAACTTGGCTGCCCTGTTCCTCCTACCTTTGAAGCACTGTGAGTCAGTGGTGGAGTGAGGGTGAATCTGAGAGCCAGTTCTTTGTGCGGTAGCTGCTGCTGGCATCCTCGCATTGTAAGGAGGGATGGTTGAACTTGGAAGGATATCCTCAAGTGGCTTGACTTGTGCCTGGCAAAAAGTAAAGCCTTTTGAGCTCTTTGACCAACTTAGAAATCTCCATTGGTAGATCAGAAATGATGAGGAACATGATAGGGTCAGAACAATGAAGATACAACTCTGTGAAGCTTTGAGATTTTGAGATCACATGAACCTTTGAGCCAGGAGATGTATTTAGTTCTTTCCTGTCTCTCCAATTTCATAACAGGTGAAGGAAAAGCACAAATGGGTAGACGTGACTGACATTTCTCTAGAGAACTGCTGTCTC